GTGAAAAACAGCTTTCCTCCCCGTAAACATCAGCACTGGAATTTCAAACCTCTGAGAACTTAGAAGACATTTGGCAAACGTTTATTTTCTTAGAGCTCAGGCTCTATTTCTGCTCTCCTTAGAGATGCATCTCTGCTGTTGGGATTCCTAAGATGCAACTTCCCTTGTTACACAGTGGAAATCTTTGTGCATTATGGATGAGGTTGAATTACAGTTAGTTAAATAAGTTAAAATGCCCATTTTTTTTCCTCATACACATATAGAAAATCACGAACACCTCCTGTGAACTTCAGCTGTCAAAGCAAACAGACAGAAGGCCTCTGCAATGGTTCAGGGAAGGGTGCCCCGCTGAAGTTAGTCGCATGACAGGTTGTTGAGATTGAACTGGTAAATGTGCAATATAAGAAATAGCAGAAGAAAATATTTAGAATCAAGAGATGCCAAAACTGCAATCAGCAAATGGAAGGCTAAAACTGATGAGCAGATCTGGATGCTTTCTTTATTATTTATTTTTATTGTCCAAGCCGTGCCATAGAACCATCTTGTTACAAGAAACGATCAATAACAGCTCCCAACTGCCTCGCTGCACGTGCTGTGCACACCTCCAGCCCGTCCCTTGCAAAAGGGACTCGCTTGGGGTGCTGAGTGCTATCCTGCTCCTGCCTCGGCGTGGTCCATGCCTGTGGGCAGACCCAACTCCCGTGCTGATGTGAGGTCTGAAACATCCAGAGGTGTAAATCCACTGGGGATTTCCATGACACCAAATACATGCCAGGGAGATTAGAGTGTGGAAAAGCAAATATCACCGCTAAGAATGCCTCAAAAATGTTGAGCGCCATCAATGCCCAAGCATACAGCTGAGACAGCGACGTACAGGAGAAAAGTTATCGCATGGAGATGCGAAGAACTCAGTTTGAGATCTCCCTCATCACCCAAACCACTGCTGACACCCTGAGAATAGGTACTGCAGAGCCCCAGCATGATGCAGGGAGGGATGGGGGTAGGCAATAAGGGGCGCATGGCTGGCCAGGAGAGCAGCTGGATATCGCTGCTGAACCCTCGCACACATCAGCAAAAGCCACAGAAAGCAACGTGGCATTTGCTGCCAGCGAGGCAGGAATACGACAGGTGAAAGTATGAGAAGCGAAGCAGCCAGGACACATACACCTCTCTGAAGCAGTCAGATGTGTTGACGGCATAAAACATTTCTGTTTAAGAATAGAGAACACAAAAGAATTGCTTCATAAATTATTCTGTGTTCTGGAGAAAGAGTGAATAGACTTTAAGGACAGGTGATGTCTCTGAAATATGTAAATGGAGCTGAGCTGGTCCAAGCAATTACCTTTTCACTGCCTGGAACTCCAGACTAAAAGGAATGACTCAGAAGAAAGAACAAGAAACAAAAGATGTGCTAAAAGGTAGAAGATGACGAAGGTAGATGGCACCAAGAGAAGAATCAAGACAGGAGTTGAATCCTGACCTCCTAACAGCTGCTCTTGGGAAAAGGAGCAAAACCACCTACAACACAAAAAATTCAGAAGACCACGCCAACAGGGAGATCCAACTGCAAAAACATCCAGAAAGGCAATTGTGATCAGGGGTTATAGACTTCTGGGTTCAAGACAAATACAGCAGCTTTGTGAACGTAAAGATAACTTATCTCAATATACTTTGTTATATCTGCTATTTTAAACATCTCCTTCCTTGCTAGGTTTTAGACAAAAGTTCTTATAGAAGAGATGAGGCATGACTACCAGATGGCCTGCTGGTGGCAAGGACGAAGAAAAAGCTAAAACATGGGAAATGGCCATGGAGATGACCCAACAGCTGCACCACTATTGTCAAAAGCAGCATTCTAGCTTCACACAGCAGGAAATAGCTGTGGGCACTGCCTCTCCACATTCAATTGTCTCCTGTAACTGCAGGTGCTCCAGCCTCCAGGTAGGAACAGGAAGAAGGTGGTCGGATTTTGCCTGTTCGTGGTGTTCTCAGTGCTTCTGAACGCGAATTCAGGATGCTCCTGCTGCATCAGTACACGTTCACTTTGGTTTTGTCCCCATTGAAAACAAAGAAAAATTACTACATTAGAGCAGTCTGATGCTGAAAACGTACTAAAGTTCAATGCACTGAGAAACTGCAAGGTCAACGTGAAGGAATGAATCAAGGAATAATCAAGAAAAGTGAAAGAAGTGGATATGTTGAGACAGCACGAAAACCACTGCATTTATTTCCATTTTATTTATTAGGAATGGACAACCCAAAGGCCACAGAGCAGTAACAAATCTGTTGGGGAAGCTATCTGTCTATCTATCTATGTGGTGCTCCCAAGTTTTACATTTTGCACAGTTAGTACTAAAGGATCAAGACAAGGATCAACGCCCTTTGCAAATACATGAAACCAGAGAGGAGAAGGATTGAAGATAACACAAGAACGACTTTAAGGAACAAAGTGAGCAGTTGAAGAGAAAATACGCAGGTAATATTGGGACAGCTTCCAACAGCAAAATTCATGAAGCTACACAATGAGAAATGTGACAGCTTCGTACTCTAATTGCTGCCTGCCAGTCTGTAATGATCCAAAAGCTGAACTTTTCCAATTTGTACCAAGCTTTATATCACATTTACCAAACACTAGGAGTATTTCATTCATAATCTATAGAACACAAGAGCAATTCAGAAATTCAGCAGGTGAACATGGAAAGGAGACAATGACAGTGATGAAGAACCTCGTAATGTTCCTACAGATCTTTTCTATAAATCCAATTTGAAATTTGAAGACTCCAATAGCTATTATTCCATCACTGCCCCACGACTGCATGTACCTCCGTCATTTTAAAGAACAGAGCTCCCTCTCGTGGCTCCACAAGGTGGATGTGGTAGGAAAAAAATTGCAGCATGAGACAGATCAAAGAACAAGAAGAATCCTGGCAGGATTTTGGTTATAGACTAGTGGAATTAAAATGAAAATATTGTAGGAAGGACAGATGGAATCTTTTAAAGAATCCAAAGCCATGTGTGCTCTAATGCTAACTTTTAAATTGCATTCTCTGCTCTTTTAGCTTCCTATTAAGCCTTTCTGCAGCTGAGCACATTCCTTCAGTGTAAAGCTCTCACAGCTCTTTTAACAGGTTTCTAGCTAGGAATAGGCAAGGAATAGGGGAAAAGGGATAAGGACAAGAAGCACGGTACCTGTGCAGTGGTGAAGGAACAGTAAACCAGATAATGCCATGCACTGAGACTACACCAAGGAGAAAATCACTGGTTTCAAAAGGTCAAGAAATACATGGTTATATGAGTGAGATAAACTTATATGTTGAAAAGCTGCAACGAAAAGCATTTGAAGGAAGAAAATCACACATCTTTAAACCACTCAGACGCCTTCAGCCCTGTTATTGACACAGAAGATTCTGCTCAAGCTCTAGCATTGATCTTTAATTCTGCAAACCCACACTTCTTGCATCTACCACCCATAAACAAGGGAGGACAGCACAACACACGAAAGAGCAAACACGCTGCTGCAATAGCGTCACCCCACATGGTCCAGTTTCTGCTGAGTCCTGGGGACAGAGGGTATGCAAAAGAAGAAACATGCTCACACATTCATTCCTCACCTTAGGGGAAGAGAGGAGGAGCAGCACTGCAAACTATTCCTTGTTTGCTATGTGGCTTCTTAAAAAAAGATCTGAAAACTACTAGATTATTTCACTTTCCTAGCTGACAGCTTTGTAACCTGAAGGTGATGCCTCTGAAAAAGGTATTTCTCTGAAGCAATGAAGTGAGAAGAGTATCCCAAGCTGAACTTGTCATCATGCATGAAAAATCATGCATGATGACAAAACAAACACAAGCTCTACACACAAAAGGTTCAAGAATTATTCATTTTTTTGGTCAATGTTTAACGAATATTCAGGATGTTTCACTTTATGCTGCTGGGTAGCTTCCTCATAATTTTTTAAAATTTAGGTAGAATTCTGAATATTCCTGTATGGCCATTTTAGATCAGACAAGAACTCACACAGCATGTGGCTGATTTTTGCTAACCGCACTGTACAGCACATAAAACTTTTTCCCAAAGATATTAAAAAGGGTTCTCTCTAAACAACACCTGCTGCAAAAGCAGGATCAAACCCACGGAACATGAGCTAGTAAAGAATATAATTACTCTTAAGACTGAAGAGCAGTACCAGAAGACAACTGAGAATCAAATTCTTGATTCATAGGCTGGTGCTCAGACTAGTATTTGCTTCCAAAGTGCAGGACAAAAAAAGAATCAATTTCCTACTGTGCAAAGAAATTACTATGCGTTCAGCATTTTGCTATTAGTAAAATATCTCCATTCTAACTCCAGTTAAAAGCAGTATTTTTCCAAAATCCAATCCTCTTAAAAATTATATAAAAATCAGTCTATAAACAGAGAGAGATCCTTAAATACTCAATCAAGTAATAAACCTGGCAGATGAAAGGCAGATTAATTAAGATGACAGTACAATCTCCCTATAACAAACACATACAGGGCTTAAAAATATGCTTGTTATGTTGGAGCACCTAACCATAATCAGATTTGGTAATTTGCTGTATCGAAACAAAAAGGAAACATTTTCAGAATTGATCATTCAGTTCACATCACTTTTATGGAGATTACTTTGTATTGATCAACATTTAAAGAGTAGTTGAAAAGACAAAGATGAGAAAAGGATAAAAAGTATCCTTACATGCTAAATACAGCATGAACCCATAAAAGCAAAATAAATTAGATCACTACAGCCAAATCAACCCTGCGCATGTGCTTACTGTAATGAAGATAATTACGAATGAAAAAGATGGTTCTTCAAGTTTCAGTCTTAACAAAAGGGGAGTTTTAAAATGGATTTAGAGTTTGACCTGCTCAGAATGAAGTTTCCTATGCAGCAATTGAAGTCTGTGTGCAGCTGAACCGTTGCTGGCTTTGAAAAGACACAGATGTGGGTTTGTTTTCCAAACAGTGTTTTCATATTTCCTACCTGTGGGTTCCAACTGGGGTCCAGTTTTTTCACTGTAGCCACATACTCCTGCATAGCTTGATGAGGACTGGTGTCTCCCAGGGCTTTCCAGGCTTCCCTAGGACAGAGAGCAAGATATCAGTGAGCCACTCGGAGACAGCACAATGTCTTTTTACAGTGTGAACAGTGGAACATGGCAATCGGAATCACATATATGATTTTAGGGGGTGCAAAGCCATCTTCCATTCACTTGGAAGCAGCCAACATTTCAGTGAAGCCATGACTGCTGCCAGTGCAGCACTCCAATACAAAAGTGTCTTTTAAACAAAAGCCATCCTGTGGCAGACACTCTAAATTTTACCTCCTCTAAGTTGTCTGTAATCTGTCAACAGAGGAGACAAGATGCGACACAAACTAGAGCCTGAAATATGCAGGGTTTACAAGCATTTCCTCTTACCATTTCTGCTTCCCCTCAAAATCGAAGAAGCCTGGCTTTGGAGTGTTACAGGGTCCGAATTTCACCTAAAGAAAAGAAATTTCCTTCTGTTAGAACAAACCAAAGAGAAGGGAACTTGCTTAAGAAAATACCAGGTTCGGATGGCTCCGGGTCCTTTTATTCTTGTGCCAGATGAAAAGTTTTTGAGGGAAAGTACTGACACCCAACTCAGCTGTGTTTTACCCTTGTTTTAGCACTCTCAATTACTACACAGTTACCTCTGCATCGCTGTGCTTGCTTTGTGTGATGCAAGGGAAGCAATTTTGTTAGGCAGCTCATTTCTTTTGCATGCATTACCCAACAGGGATCACCAGCAAGTGATTTCTCACTTAATGTTATGTTTATTACTCAGCCAAATGCCTCATTCTCCACCAGTATCAAGAAAAAAATCTGTTGATTAGGGTTTCTAGAGAGATGATTATTCATTAAGGATGAAATTCACCTGCTTCCGCACCAAGTTTGAGTAAACAGACTTTGCTTAATTATTTTCAAGGTCCTCGGGAAGGCAAGGGGACGAAGTCAGGGGGAAGGAACGCCAAGCAGCTTCTGAATCAGCTCCGAGGCATCTGGCTGCACAGGAAGCACTCCGCGAGCGGAACAAGTCGAGGCCTGAGCAGAACCGCCCGAGACGAAGTGGGCTGGCACGAGGAGGCATGAGTGAAAAGGAGGAAAGGGGGAAGTAACAGGAATAGCACCACACCAGATTTAGGGGACGGGTACCGCCACAGCAGAGGCGTGCAGAATCAGGCGTGCGCTTCTCTGGCTCCACTCTAGTTCAGAAATACCAGAACTGACGAGGTTCCCAAGCAGATCCCGACGTAAAAGCGTGAAATGGACTTAGCACCAGGGGGCCTCAGCTGGGTTTTCATATAAAGGCGTGCTGATGTGACACACAAAGCTGCTTCTTTCATTTTAGTAGGGTCTGGCAGCCCTATCTCCGTTACGAGCTCACCCACAGAAGTGAACGGAGAGGACGGACAAAGGCTTCCCCTGCCCGCAGCTCCAACAGCACAAGCACGCTGCTGAGAGGCATCTGGTGATAAGATCGTCTCAGGAAGAGCAGTGAGAAGGCTGAGACATGGTAACGTTTTCCTGAAAGTCAGCTCAGGAGAATTTAGACATGAACGTGCCTCTGTGCCTGCTGGTGAACGCGGTGAGGACTCACCAGACCCGGCTGCCATCAGCGCCCCTTCCTCTTACAGAATAAAGCCCTCGGCACACAGCTGTCTCAGCAAAACGGATCCAACTGAAATGAAAATATCACCGTGGAAGGGAACGGACTTACACAAAGCGTGGATTTGTCTTAATTTTTTTTTACATTCAGCTTAAGGAAAGCAGTGCATGTCCTACAGGGATAACAAAAGGCCAAGAAATCCTTGGCCCACCAGGCAGGCACGGCCTGGAGGTGGGCAAAGGCTGCTGGCCAAACACGTTGTTAGCCTGAGCAACACCGAACTGCATCCCCCCGTTATTTTCTATTTGTAAATGAAATATGCTCCAGTGTTCAGGCAGGTGAAGCGCTTAAATCAACCAACAATTCTTCACCTTAGCAGGGTGGGGATTTTCTGCTGAGGATGGGAATCATTAATCAGGCCTTAGAGCGAGCGTGCCCACGCCGAGAGATATTTATTAGTTACACCATGTTTTCATTTCGAGTGCTAGAGGAGATGAGGGACTAACTGAAATTAATGCTCTGCACATCTGACCATCTCCTGGCGAGCAGTCCGTTCACATCAGGGCATCTCAGCCGGTCTTTAAAACAACACGTTGCATTTCGTGGAGAACTGGGGGAGAGGACGAGCAACAGTTAAGCCCTGTAAATCAGTCACGGCTCATTTGTGTTGTAAATCTCTCCTCCTGTGCTCAGATATGGACTGGACCACTTGTTCCATAAAACAAAAGAAACACGGAAATAAAATGTGAATTCATTATCTGGGTGGAAAATGCCTGCCTGGCAATTCTTCAGTTAGATCTGGCCAAGCCAGATCAAAGAAATATCATCTTTTTTAATATTAATTGTTCGCTGCCATCATCAAAACAAGACGGCAGTTCCTTTTCTCTAGATTTGGCATTCAGAGGCTGTTCCAGCACTGAAAAGACTGTTAGTAACATCAATAGCAATACAAATCAAGGAACGGTAGTTAAATTTCATCCATCAAGAATGGGAGGAAAAAAAACAGGCACGCGTGTGCCCTGTTTGCTATTTTGAGATATATTAAAAAGGCTTGCAGTGCTTTTGCTGGAGAGAAGAAGAAAAAAATTCTTGGCTTCCTTCTTTCTGCTGCAGGACTCCATAATGCAGCAGGAGCCAAACAGGAACCTAATGGTAGGGGAGACTGGAGCCCAGTAGCCGAGGAAGGGGATTTTTAGCTAAATATACTCCTGAACCATGCAAAAAGCTGACCCAGGCAGCTCTGCACGGGCTGTGTCTGTGTTTGTGGCCAACAGGGAAATTTAGAAGCCCTGGCTGATGGCTTCACCTGACGGCTGGAGGTCACGATGTTCAGAAAAGCTCCTGGACAGACTGAGAGATGTGTCAGTGCTGTGTACCACCAGATAAAAACTCAGCTGTTGGGCCATCCCGTGAAAAAACCCGAGGTTCTCCTTGCTCATTACATCACAACTGTTTTATTTTTTTCTTCCTGGTGGTGGGGAACAAACTGCTGTGTGCTAAGTTTTCAAGTAACACGTTTATGCAGCGGGAAGTCCCAGCTGCTCAGAAATCTTTAAGTTTACCCTCCCCAGGGGCAGCACAAGCCTCTGCCAGCAGCACTGGGTTTGCAGCCCAGAGCATCCTGCTGATGGGCGGCTTTCCCAGCCTCTGGTCACTCCCAGGGAGGTTCTGGACCCGCTGCCTTCTCTGAAAGACAAATGCTGTACTGGTCTCCATCACCACAGCTCCCGAGCCCCCCTCTTTGGCATTCCCAGCAGACAGACAAGCTCCACCACCTTCACCTTACCGCTGCAGGCTCAAGGCAGGCAGGACGAGAGATTTGCCCAAAAGCAGGGGGAGAAACAAAACAGGTCCCAGGCGAGAGCCCTGCCAAGCAGTCTGTTCTTCCCCTGAGTCGTAAAGCCAGCAACATCTTCTAAAAAGCTCACTGGAGGTGACAACTAAGCAATTCCCTTATTTTCAAGTCTCTGACACATAAACAAAATCAGAGAGAAAAGTAATAAAACCCTGAAATGGCCTCCAATAAAAGGTAATAAAATCCCAGGAAAACGGTTATATACCCAAACAGTTGGAAATAAATAATATACAGTATTTTAACAGAGAGCTCAGCTGTTACTGCCACCCCTTTTATGACGGCGCTGCGTCCTAAATCAAAGCCCTGAGCGACATAAAACACCGTGCGGAGGAAAGACAAGGGTGCCAAATCAAGGGCAGCGGACAGATCTGAGTCAGCACCTTTTGTGTGCGAGCAATACCACTGCCCACCGGCGTAATATATTAGCAGCCCATTACGCATGCTGCTACGGCTGCTGTAATTAAAGAGAGAAAACTCGCATTAAGCGCCATCACGTTGATTTAAAGCCCCAAACGCTGCAAAAGTCCAAGTTAGCAGAGCCTAATCCTGCAGCAGCTGTGAGAGCTGGCACCGGAGGCACAGAAACCAGGGAGCTGACACAGCCCCGAAGCAAGGAGCAGGCGGGTTCTTCTCGTGCATCCTCTTGGCCGGGGACAAGAGGGACAGAGGCAGAGGGGATAGAAGCGCCCCTCGGCTGGAGGGGACTGGACATCGGTGCTGCCAGTGCTAATTGCTGCTGTTTCTGCCTGGTATCAAACCTTGTGAAAGAGTTTCCCATTTTAATCACTTTTAACTGAAACATTAAATACTTTATTGCTCTTACAGAGACAACCCTAATAAATATTCTAGAGTCTGCTGACACTCACAGAGAAGTACATCAGTGACACTTCCCCTTTTCCAAGTGGGACACTTACAAAGCATTTGCACCAAAGTCCTTTCTTTTCACCTCATTCTCATCGTGGTCTTTGTTCTTACAAGTTTTCCTGGCACTTTTTATCCCCTCCTTTTTCTTACGAGGAGGATGAAACCTGGAAGACCTGTTTAAGCACCAGAAAAACCTCAAGACAGAGCCTCACGCTGGCCAGTTTGTTCTCAACAGACTGGCTGTGTACAACTCATGGCCCAGAGACCACAGCCTGGGAGCCACCAGCTTGGTGGATAATTACATATTACACCAAAAAAAATAGAAATGCTTTTCAGTGGCAGTAGCCAGACGAGGGTATTCAGTGTGGGAGGAAAATCACGGGGAAGATGTACGCACGTAACTTCAAGTATTAACCCAAATGTGTGGGATTCGGTTCTGGGCAATCTTTTGCCATACAGGTGACTCAGGTTCAAGTTTTTACCCTTTAATCTTCCACGTGCAACACAAGTTTTAACTCTTCTGTTTCTCCAGGTGAGCCAATTACAGCTCTCTGCACCTTAACTGGTGCTTTTGTTTGACATCAGTTCTCCCAGAGGAGCAGGAAAGTTGCTCTTTCATGGCACATCCCTGAGTTGCTGATACTCAGGGGCTGAACGGGAGAGGTGTCAGTGAAAGGGGAAGGGTCCCTCACAGAAGTACTGAGGTTGTGAGGGACCCGTGAAGAGCAGCCCCCGCCGAGCAGGACCACCAAGAGCACCCCACAATCATGAATGGTCCAGGTTGGGTGGGACACCTGAGGAGCATCTCCCAGCCTAAAACATTCCACAACCCTACAGCCTAATGCCCTGGCAACCCCCTGAACCACCAAGCCACCTCAATGGGGCTCCACAAACAGCCCCATCCTTCACGGGGCCGCATCCAAACCCCACGGATTCAGCACGGGGAGCCCGGCAGGCGGACACCCAGCACAGAGCAGGGCCCGAGCCCGTCCCTGCTGCCTCGCAGCCCCACCGAGGGGCTCTCCGTGAGGGCGAGGAGCCGGCCGGGGCCTCACCTGCTTGTAGCGGGCGTAGAGGTAGAGCAGCTGCTCCTTGCTGGCGGCGCCCAGCAGCCCGGGCAGCCGCTCGGCCGCCTGCTCGAACAGGGCGGGCAGGTGCTGCTGGTGCTGGCCGCCGGCCGGCTCCGAGTCCCCCGAGTCCCCCGAGCTCCCCTCAGCGCCGCTGCCGGCCGCCCCCGAGGGCGACGCCATGGCGGCCGCTCCGCCCGCACAGCACCGCCCCGCCCGGGCCCGGTACGGCGGCACCGCGGCCCGGGGAGAAAAACGAGCCGAGAAGGGACGTTCCGGGACAGCTCGGGGCCCGCCGCCCTCAGCGCCTCAGGCACAGGGGCTGACGGCCCGCCCGGAGCTGAGGCTGAGCTTGGCAGCCGCATCCTGAGCTTGGTGCAGGAGCCCGGGCTGCACTGTTGTGGGTTAAGGCTGGAAAAGCCCTTCACAGTCATCTCCAACCAGCCCCCTGCCACCCATGTCACCCACCAAACCATGTCCCCCAGCACCACGTCCAACCTCTCCTCAACAGGGACGGTGACTCCACCACCTCACTGGGCAACCCGTCCCAGTGCCTGACTGCTCTTCTGAGGAGAAATTTCTCTGATTTCCAACCTGAACCTCCCCTGGCACAACTTGAGGCTGTTCCCTCAAGTCCTTATGCTAATTATCTGCAAGAAGAGGTCAACCCCAGCTCTCCACCCCTTCCTTTCAGGGAGCTTGCAGAGAGCAATGAGGTCTCCCCTGAGCCTCCTCTTCCCCAGCCCAAACACCCCCAGTTCCCTCAGCCGCCCCTCACAGGACTTGTGCTCCAGGCCCTTCACCAGCTTCACAGCCCTTCTCTGGACATGCTCCACGGCCTCGATGTGCTTCTCGTAGTGAGGGGCCCAAAGCTGAACCCAGCACTCGAGGTGCGGCCTCACCAGAGCTGAGTACAGGGGGACAGTCACCTCCCTGGCCCTGCTGGCTGCACTATTCCTGACACAAGCCAGGACACCAGTGGCCTTCCTGGCCACCTGGGCACACCTCTGGCTTATGTTCAGGTGAGCATCGAACCAACACCCCCAGATGCCTTTTGGTCTGCACAGCTTTTGAGTCACTCTGCCCATAGCCATGTAGCACTGCATGGGGTTGTTCTGGCCAAAGCACAGGACCCGGCACTTAGCCATGTTCAACCTCATCCCACTGTCCTCTGCCATTGATGCAGCCTTTCCAGGTCCCTATGCAGAGCCTTCAAATGTAAAGTGTTGTGAAGGAGGAGTGGAGTTAGTCTGGAATTAGTCCCCCAGGGCCATGACTCACAGGGTCCTGAGCACTCACCAGCCACTGCCAGCTCCCAGGGCCATGGGCACCCCAGGAAACCTCAGCTGGGACACTGGCACCCTGCCAGGATGTGGTCTGTCCTGCTGGGGCCTGGGGGGCACCTCACAGCTCTTCTCTCCCAGCCCAGCTCCCTCATTCCTCTGCAGGTGTGTTCTCTAACACCTGCATGCAGCAGCCCTCACTTGCCCCACTGCCTCCCGTGTGCCTGTGCCCCAAGCCCCTTGGTACCAAAGGACATGAGTTGCTGTAAGGATGATCTTTATTCAGCTGGGAGAAGTGGTCTGCCACCAGCAGGGATTTCCAGGAGTCCCCCAGCCAGCTCACTGCACACGCATGCTCCTGCTGTCCTCTGTGGAGCAACGAAGCAGAGCCACGTCCTTTGGGATGCCAGCAGCCCCAGCGGTGCCTCTGGGAGGGTGCAAAAGGGGACTCTCCTCGGAGGCCCTCATGAGATGAATGTCGATTCCCCGCTGGTGTTGTGCTGGCTGGGCACGGGCAGCCCACCAGGGGACAGCTGGCAATGTCGGTGGCGCCCATGCAGGGTGGTGATCAGGGCGATGTTGGCATCCAGCTGTCAGGGGAGGTGCCTTCAGCACAGGAGCCTTCGGAGGGCTGAGGGGTGTCCTGCCTCACTGGCTCGCTGTCAGTCTGAAGAGAACTGACTGTCGGATGGGTGAAAAGGCTGTGCCAGAATTATTAGGCAGGCACTTCATTCCCCCTGCATCCTTTCCCGGTGCGATGCCTGCCCTCGCACGGGCCTTGGAGGTCCTAAGACCAAGGGCTTGTTGCTGGGGGTACTCCAGGGGGCTCTTCTTTTCTTGTCCTTGTTTTGTGCCTTCTTCCTTGGCAGTGGGAGCCCGAGCTCTTGCAGGCGGAGCTGGTGGAGGCGCTTGAGGCTCCTCACCATGACTGGCAGCTTTGGCCTCCATCTGGCAGCGCAAGGCATAATCATGCAGAGCGCCCTTTCCCTGGGGTCTGTCCCCACGGAAGCTGAGGCCCACCGGCCCGTTCCCTGGAAGTGACAGAAGAGGCACAGCGAAGGGCATGTCTGAGGGCTCGTGGGGTGGAGAACTGCCCTGGGCTCGGCTTCCTCTGGAGTGTCCAGCCTTGAAGCCTGCTGCTGCCGCTGCAGCCCACACGGGGGTCTGTGTGCCCAGCAGGGCGGTGGGCCTGAGCCCCCCGTGGTTTGGGCCGTGCCCTGGGTGTCTCGGTGAGAAGGAGCCGTGGCCAGAGCCACGTCCAAGCTGGGCAGCCGTGGCACGGTTCTCCTCAAAACCCTCTTGGGGGCAGAGTGGAAGCCCCCATCGAGAGGAAAGCCCCAAGTTGGCTGTTGGTTGGATACCATCACAGAACCAGTTAGGTGTGAATGGAATCATGGAATCATAGAATCACTGAGGGTGGGAAAGAACATCTGCTCCAACCACCCCCTGCCACCAATGTCACCCACCAAACCGTGTCCCTAAGCACCACGTCCAACCTCTCCTCAAACACCCCCAGGGACGGTGACGCCACCACCTCCCTGGGCAACCCGTCCCAGTGCCTGACTGCTCTTCTGAGAAGAAATTTCTCTAATTTCCAACCTGAACCTCCCCTGGCACAACTTGAGGCCGTTCCCTCTAGTCCTATCACTAGTTACCTGTGAGAAGAGGCCGACCCCCAGCTCCCCACCCCTTCCTTTCAGGGAGTTGCAGAGAGCAATGAGGCCTCCCCTGAGCCTCCTCTTCCCCAGCCCAAACAGCCCAGTTCCCTTAGCCACTGCTCACAGGACTTCTGTTCCAGATATATGTGTTATATATACATTTATTGAAATGCATACATACATATACATGTATAAATATATATAGATCGATAGATAAGTATGTTTACATAAGCTGGCACAAACCCTCTCCCTGCTGCTTTGCAAATGCCTGTTAGGATCACAGAGGGAAAGCAGCCACTGCATTGACACCAGGGGCTCCCCTAACACTTCTCAAGCATTTTAGGACCTTTGCCAACTTTTCCCCTCTCCCAGCTCCCCGCTCCGTGTCCCGGTGCCACGCGTGGGGCCGGGCACCGCGGGTGTCGCCGCGGCCGGGTCCCGCTGCCGCTGGGGGGCACTGGCGGCCCGGCTGCGGCCCTCGGGGAGCGCAGCGGGGTTTTGGGGGGGCTGAAGCTGGGAGCAGAGGTTCTGCAGCTCCCACACACCCACCCCCATGAAAAGGGTCGCCAGCACCCGCTGTCCCTTGCCCCTTGCTGTGTTGCCCTCTCCGTCCCCGTCCCCAGCAGAACGAGCACCTTAGGGGCTATCTCCATCCCCTTTCCACCCCCCCAGGATTTCTGCCCTGGGGTGAGAGGACAGCATGGGGACAAGGCCAGCGGGGAGGGGACCATACACGGGATGCTGATGCAAGATCCCTGGCAGCTGCCAGGCGGGGTGGCCCCGCGGCTGGCAGATTCCCCTTGTCCCCGCCGTGGCCGCGGGGGTCCCGTCCCAAAGTATATTTAGCCTGGCAGCCACCGCGGGTGGAAAGTTTCCCTGGGCACAGCTGTCGAGTCCGTCTCCCTTCTCCACCCCCCGCAGCAGCAAATGGCAGCGCCGTGTCCCGTAAGGAGATCTTGGCCACCTTGGCAGCACTGTGTGCCCGGGAGCCCGGCCTGAGCCTGCCCTGGCCCCCTCCGCCCATTTCACAGGTGGGCAAAGTGAGGCAGAGAGGGGGGCAACACGAGGAGGTAGGCACAGGAGGTTGGCACCGTGGGCCTGGGGCTGGGGACAGAGAGATGTCCTGCGTGTGACTGGCTCTGTCTGCACAGCTACGGGCTTGACAAAGTATTTGAGACAAATTATCTGAAGCACGAGGCCTCCGCTCGCTTTCCGTCTGGTCTCCATGGTGAGAGGCCATGACGCTCTCCCCTGCTCTAGCACCTGCGGCTCGATTTCGCTCAGTTTTTCCTTGCCTTTCTTTCAGGAGCAACTGCACGGAGGGCCTGATCCTCCCACCCGACCTGCAGCAGGCATGGGAGAAGGTGCAAGGCACCACAGAGCCTTTGGGGTGGGACGGAGGCAGTGAGGACATGGCCTCCAGGCTCCAAAATGCTCAGCTGCCTGTGTGGGATACGGCAACCACCTCCTGAGCTAAGCCCTCCTTACATTCCTTGTTTTTTTTCCACAGCAGACAAAGAAAAGGGGTAATTAAGGCTGCCTCGTTGTGCCATGGGAGACGCCTGTCGATGGTGGAGGGCTGGAGGCACGCGTGCCGTGCTCGCAGGTTCTACCTGCAGGCTGGCCTCTTGTTCGCATGCAGCAAAGGGGATCTGGGAGAAAAGCATGTAATTAGTGCAGCTGCCATATAGTTTTTGTAGATATCAATAAAACATTGATTCCCTCCTTCTGGAAGCTCCTGCACCGCGGTGCATACAAATGGCCCCGATGGCTTCTCCCTGAAGCAGCCAATGTCTTGGCCGCCCGGCGGTCCAGAGGTTGCAAATAACGGGAGAAATCTCATTTTTGTTTGACTGACAGTGTTTTGTTTGGTGTGAAGCTAAAAAAATATAATCAAAAAGCTCCGTTTCCATCTTGCTTTGCTCAGCCTCCTGCCCCATCCATCTCCTTTCCCATCTCCTGACATGTCTGTGTGAAAAAACATTTGTTTTGGGATGTGAACCTGGCCGCTCTTCGTTTTGTGTAGCTCACATTTGTCTATCCCATTTCCATAACCCCCTAATACTCCGTTTTGTGATCTTTTTTGGGGTTTTGGGGCAGTGGGAAGCCCATGGTGATGCTTAGGGGCTGTGGGGCTTGTGCCCAACCAAGCTTTTGGGAGGCCAGCCGGTGTCCTGCCGGGTGGTTTGCCCTCTGAAGTACTCTTTTTCTCCGGCCTCTTTTGAAGACTCGTTCTCCCCAGCAATGCAGGATCTCTAAAAGTATGTATTTTGAGAAGAAAAACAGGCTATTTATAAACGCTTCTATATGCTCTCCACAAAGCAAGTGCCAGACTGCGCTGGCAGAGAGCCCACTCCCGCCTTGATGGTTTAAAAAAGAAAAAAAAAAAAACGAAAAAAAAAAGCGAAAAAAAAAAAGCAAAAAAAAGCAGAAAAAAAGTGAAAAAATAGGGAATAACGCTGGTGTTTTTATCTTTTCCTGGCCAAAACAGCACGGAGAGAGTCGTGGTACACATGGGAAGGGGTTGGAGCAGCGAGGTGCCACTACGGCCCCTGGGTGCCGTGCTCCGTGCTCCCGCACAGCCCCAGGGCCAATTTTTGAGGCAAAAACCCCCAAAACCCCCCCTCCCGCCCCGCGCCTGGGGGCGGTCCCAGCGCTGAGGCGAGCGGCAGGCGGGGCCGCTCCAAGCCCCGCCCCCTCGCGCTAAGCCCCGCCCCTCGGCGGGCGGTTGCCGTGGCGACGCGGCCGTGCCGGCGGCGGGGCGGGGCGGGGCGGGGCGGGGCGGAGGGGCGCCAAGATGGCGGCGGCGGCTGTGGCGGCGGCAGCGGGGCAGGGAGCGGCGGTGGCGGCAGCAGCGGGGCGGCGCTGAGCCGAGCCCAGCGGGGCAGAGCCGAGCCCAGCTCAGCCCAGCCGAGCTGAGGAAGCCCCGCGGCGGCTCCTGAGGCCTGAGGAGCGGCGGGGAGGGCGGGCGGGGGCCCATGTGCGGCGGCGGCGGCCCCCCCCCGCCCCCCAGTAGCGGCGGCGGCGGCGGCCCGGTGGCGGCCAGGAGCCGCTGAGGAGGCTCGGAGCGACTGAGGAGGAGGAGGAGGAGGAGGCGGCAGGATGAAGTTCGCCGAGCACCTGGCGGCGCACATCACCCCCGAGTGGCGGAAGCAGTACATCCAGTATGAGGTGGGGGCTGCCCCTGCCCGCGCCCACCGGCGGAGGCACCGGGAGGGGGGTGCGGGCCTGAGGGGGGGGGGAGGCCCTGAGGGGTGAGGGGGGAGGCCTCGGGGCTGGGCGCAGTTTCCTCCGTTTTCCCCGCTACCCTCTTGGCCTAGCGGGAAGGTCAGCAGAGCATGGGGTGGAGCAGAAATAACCCCGAGGTGGCACCTTCCCGGGGTGCCCGCTGTACCGGGGGGTCCCCCCGAGCCTCCCCCAGCTCCTTCAGGGGGTGCTGGGCTCGGTTCCAGCCCCCCCGCAGCCCCCGCTGCCTGCTGTGGGAAGGTCGCGCTGACACCTCAGCCCGAGCTTCGTCCCGCTGAAGGCTTTGGGCTTTGGGCTGGTGCTCAGGGAGGCTGTCAGCCCCGCTGAAACCGCTGCTTATTGCGCTGTCCCGGCTCAGAGACGCTCTCCCCAGCAGCACCGGTCATCCCCACGAGTAATAATTAAACCTGAAAGCTGATTCCAGGGGAGCTGTCAGCAGCGGGCTGCTTGACCTGCTGAGCCAGGCAAAAAAACGCTCGGTGCCTGTTATCGTTCAAGGGCTGGGGTTTTCTCTCTGGGACCCTAATAGTGATTTATGTCTCACATCCCTATGAAGCTGTCTGCTCTCGCAAGGAAACCGTGTTTATCTCAGCTTGCTGTGTGATTCTTGTCGGACTCTAAAAGTTTATATCTTCCCTTTTCACCACTCCTTTGTTTTCCATTACCTGAGAGCAAAGGAATAGATGCTTAAAAAGTGCAGGCAGATTTTATTTTAGAACAAATCCATGATCTACCTGAGCTGTTTGCAGAACGAGCTGCCTGAGTAACGCATGGGTTTTTGCGAAGGAGGGACCCCATTGTCTCAGTACGGTGCCAGACTAGTTCTGCATCAGGTCTCTGATGGGTTTTCTCTGTGAGAGCTCTCGGGGTTGTTTTCTGCTTTTGGGAGCAGAAAACTTGAATGTGGTCCGAAGGGAAGGATCAGAGGTGGGGCTGGAGGGGAAGTCAAGGAGGGGAAAAAGATGTGCAGAAGGCTGCGCTCCTGGCTGACCAGATGGAAGCTGAGGGAGGGTGAAGGAGACCCAGCGAACTATGACACCTCGATTAATGCGCGAAGAACTCTGCTGCGCGTTGGCCGCTGCTTTCATTACAGGAGGTTAATTTTCAGATGTTTTAACTAGGACACTGATATTCTCTCCTTCTCCCTTCCCCCATCCCAGTTCAAAATCAAGGTAGATTTCAGTAAAATCTTCCTTAATAGATGTTTTTCTTTCCAAACATAGCGTTCTTGTTGGACAGTTAGCTGAACACTGAGGGCATTAAAATAAAAACCCCACCCTCGCTTTTAGTAGTAAGTTTCAAAACTCTTTGTTTTGTCTGGACGTGAGTCAGCCTGCTGCTCATGCATATTCCAGTAGTGCAATGGGCTGGCATTTATTATTCAGTGGCTGGTGGTCGTGTGGAGCGCGGCGCTACCTTGGTTTACTTGTTGGTGAGCCTTGAGGCAAGAAGCACGCAGCCCTCCTTTGTCAAGAGAAAGGCCGAGCTGTTGCTTGGCAGATGTTGCTTTCGTTATTTGTATGCAATACTTCTTACAGTTGCATCGTAGTAATTTAAAAAAAAAAAGTGTATAATTCATTGAAATATCTTAATGTGTTTTTTTATTTGACAGTTTATATCTTCTCCTTAATTAAAGCAGCAATCAGTTTCCATTTTGGAGTGAGAGATACCATTGTGTTTAACTCGGAAAAGATCAGTCCTGTTTGCAGGGACTTACCACTGACATGTTAGGATGATAACGAAAGGACTGGAAGATGGAATAGCAGTTGTCTTCAAGGCATTCTGTTGATAAGGCTCATGTGTAGTCATCTGATTTTTAAACTCTGATGTCTGTAGCTTTTTCCCTCGGAGAGCAGGTGGCTTTCACACAGCCCCTAAGTCTTGTAAGACCCCGAGGTCCTCTCCAGGTGAGAAGGCTCTGGCTTGAAGACAAGGCAAGGCTACAAGGAGCTCTGCCTTGCACAAATGGCCAGTCAGACTAGAAGGACGATGTAATCTGTTGCTGATGATGTCAAGAAGAAGGATGAGGCGATGTTTTGAAAATCTGAATGTGTAGTTTCACTTTCAGATGGTCCTCAGTGATTTACAGCCTTTTGAGTTCTTATCAGTAATGCGATCTTTCCCTCAATCACTGACCTGTTTAATTACTGTAACTGTGATTGTAGGAAGCGCCCAAGTTGCCCAGCCTTGGGGTGGGTACTTGGTCCGTGGAAGCGTTTAATGAAAATGAATGGGTTTTCCCCTCTCTAAACAAGGCAAAAGATCTACTTTGATACCTATAGCTTGGATTCTTATTTTTTTTCAGCAAAAGTGCTGCAGTGCCATTGCTGTGTGCCTGCTTTTTAAGAAAGAGCAGTTGGCATGTGAAAAAGAAGAATGATGATGCATACTGCTCCGGCTCATTCAGCTCTTCACAAAGACAGGGGCCGTGACTGAGAGAGCTTAAACACAGTGTTTACAGAAACCTCGGCTGACTTGATTTGACTTCTCATTGTAAAGATTGCTCAGATTTTTAGATTTGCAGCTGCTGCCCTCTCTGTGCTGAGGCCAGGTCCAAGCGCCTTGGCTTGAGGTGTCTGGCACCCTGTTGTCTGCAGAGCTGGTGGTGTCCCCAGCAGGGTAAAGGCTAGCTCTAGCACTGCTTCTTGCCTTAAAACCTTAGGTTTTGAAATCTTCCTTTACTCTTTGATTCCTTTGGTGTGAAAACATGAGACAAAACAAAATCGCATCTTTGTGTCAGACAACAGAATTTACTTTTTAACACAGAATTGAACAAGTTAAGGTGACTCTCAGATTAGTTTCAGCTGATGCTTTTTTTTCTAAACCCATTCTTTTCTGCCTTTAATGCGCATTTGTAGATGCGGTGGAATCGTTGGATATCCAGGCCTCTGTTTATCCTTAATCACAATGCGAATTTCCTCTGCCTGTGCGTACCTCTCTGAAGTGCTTGCAGGAGAAGGAGGAGAGCATTGCTCAGTCTGCTCAGGCCTCCCAACACAAGTGTGTGCGTGCCTGTCAGTCTGCTGGGAGCTTGCTGGAGTTTTACAGTTGCCAGATGGCAGTTTCATGTCAGTTTATCTGGCCTGAATTTGTTTATCTGGGTGCAGAAGTCTCTTTAGTGAGCTCTTAGAAGTCTCTTCAGCACGTAGTCTATTCACACTTCTGTTTCCCCGCGTGTTTAACTCGTTGCTGTGCGCTCTGCTGGAGCAGGGAAGGCTGAGAAGCATCCACCAATTTTGGGGAAGAGTTCTTAGGATTGTGGAATGGTTTGGGTTGGAAGGGACCTTAAATATCATCTAATTCCAACCCCCCTGCTGTGGGGGGTTCTAGAGAAAAAAGCAATTAGCTGATGTTTAAAAACAAGTGTTTAATGCCTCTGGGGAAGGAGGAGAATGGGAACAGTTGCTCCAGGCCTGAACTTGATGGGAGATGTTGTAGGATGTAGGAGCAGGTGGCTCTTTCTCCCTTCTAACAGAGACTTCGGGTGTTAACCCCTTTCCCCCTCTGGTAGGGGAAGCAGGTTGTGAAGTTTTAAGAATCATTTCTCTGCGACAAAGCCTGCAGTGGGGGAAGTAGGCGTGGAAAACGAAAGCCGCCGCGCGGTGCGCGTAGCCTGCTCGTCCTCAGCCTCTTCCAGGAGCAGTCTCTCATTTCTTGGGACGTGGCCAGCTCTGCTCTTCAAACAGGGCTTCATGATAGGCAGTTCGCACCCAAGCTTGCCACCTCCTGACACAAATCTGTTGTGCTATTTCACTAGTTGTCCTTCTGGGTGCTAGCGGACGAGCTTAGGAGAGCATTAGCAGCCTGCAAGCCAGTCACTTAAACCAGCTGCTTTGTTCCAGCCTTTGAAGGCTTTTGTCCTTGAATTTTGTTCACTGCCCTGGCTTGGCAGTCGCATTTTGAAGCGTTTCCTTTCTGCTTTGTTGTCTGATATATGTTTAGGTGAGTTTCTACAAGGTGTATCAGAAGCACAACTAAAAAAACAACAATGAAACCCAAACCACCCCACGTTTTTGGTTCATGTGAGGCCTGGAGGAGTAATTCTTAAACATGTGAAGCTGACGGCGATGAGTGGCTTTTTGGAACAGCTTTTGTGGTGTCGGGTCTGGTGCCCAAGGGATCTCTGCTCCTTCCTTGCTAAGGGGCAGTGAGAGCGGTGCTGGAAGCGCGCTGCCCCTACGGGGTGTGGGGTGGCTTCCCACCTGCTGTCTCTTTGGGGTTGTTTCTCCCGTCTCATGCGGCACTGGTTTGTGGAAAAAGTTATAGGTAGGCAAGGATGACAAGCAGGGTGGAAAAGGGGAAGGTAGCTTGTGGTTGGTTTGGGGTTGTTTTTTTTGACCAGTCGATGCGTGGAAGCGGGTCACGCGCTGCGGGCGGTGAGTCACGGGAGGAAGGAGGAATGGAAACGGGACCGAGGGAAGGACAGAGCCGTGTCACTGGAATGAGGATCATTCAGCCACGGCTTAGCTGGGAAAACAATTATGCAAGTGACCTTTGTTGAGACCTCTGTGGACTTGGGAACGAGACCTTTGAGAGATGGCTGAGCTGCCTGTTTCAGCGGCCACCTATGATAGCCTGTGATAAACAGCCCTGTCCTTTAGACCTTATATTTACTTAGCAGGCTCATAACCCACATTACAACAGTGCTGAGCTTCTACTTGCTGAGCGTGGGGTTTTTTCCCCTATGGGGGTGTTAGGGCAACTGTTAGAGGCTGGGATGTTCGCCCTGGGGGAGGGAGGGGGGCACAAGAAGCAGATGGATTGTGGAGCTCTGGGACCTGCTGGGTAATGGGAGGCAGTGGCAGGAAGCTTGAAAGACCCGAATGGCTTTTGTGGGTTAGATTGCTGGAGGTTCAAAAGTCCAGGAATAAAACACAAGTCTTGCAGCAGGTGTTTGCAAAGCAGGCTCGCGCTCTCTATGTGAGTTAAGATGCCTCTCTGCTCCAAGTGATGGTGGCATCTGTGTAAACCAACGTCCTGCAGTAGGAATGGTCCTCTCCTAGTTGTCCCCAGTTCCAAAATTACATTTGGAGTTACTCCATCAGCCACAGGATCCAAGTCGCTTGATTCCTGCATGCTCTTGTGATGTGCAGCAGCACACACCTTTAGCCCTTGGCTCTGGCCATCCCCAGGAGCAGCACATTGCCGCCTCCACGGGGCGAGGGCCTGGCTAGCAGCTCTGGCCTCTGCTGGCCGTGCCTTTTTGGTGTCCTCCTCCTCCAGAGGCAGCCTCCTGTGGCTGCCTGGTCTGGTCCATCAGCTCCTCTTCAGCTCTCAGGATAGATGTGCATTCCTGTACGACTGCACTCTGTACCAGTGCTAAATCCCTGCCGCTGCTGTTCCTCCGTTTTTCTTCACAAACTCCTTTCTATGTCACCTCACAGTTTGTTTTTTCATGAAACCTTTAACATCCTACCAGCTGGGAAACATTTCTTCCAAAGGGAGATGTTCAGAAATACGGTTGGAATAAATGGTGTCGATTAGCAAGGTAACAGGCCTTTGAAGCAGTCGGTAAACCCGAGCGCATGTTTCTTTTGTTACCAGAGATGCGTGTAACAGCACTGACATCACATTCCCTAGCTCTGGGTGTCAGTCTGCAGGGATAAAAGGACTTTAATTGCTTTTCTTTTCAAACAGACGTATCAAAACAATGTAATTTTTTTTTGTTGTTGATGCTGACAGCGTTCCTTGTTCTCTCTCTCCCCTCCAGGCTTTGAAGGAGATGCTGTATGCAGCTGTGGACGAGGCCCCTTCTATAGAAGGTAAGCGAGCTGCAACTGAGAGTCGTGTTTGTCTTGGCATTGGATGCCGGGCACACAGTAGTGTTACTTTTCTGTCCCCAGTCCTCCAAAATTGGTAAACTTAATGCACTGATGGGCAAGCGCTTGGCCCTTCACAGCCTGCGAGCTATTTTTGATTGTTAGGACTCTTTGTCCTCTGTCACCAGAACAATAAATGGCTCTGTAGAGCTTGGGACTCCAACAGCTGGATTCCTCTTGCTTATAAGGACATTCACTGGTGGAAGTACTTTCCTCGTCGCTTGAGAATAGACCTTTGTTTTCCTGGGCAGCTAGCGGCTTCGGGAGGTAATTGTGCTGGAGAGGCGCTGGCTCCTGGTGTGTCACCCGTGGCTGGAGCTGTGAGAGTCTCATCCTTTCGTCCCGGGTGCTCCCTGAAGGCTGTGCTACCTCTCGTACGTTGGCATGAGTATATTTTGTGTTTGAATGTGTTTATTGCCGCTGAATCCTCTAGATAAGTGACTTTAATACAGCATATGGTTTTAAGCTCTCTGCATTTTGAGTAGTTTAAGTGATAAGTGCAGTAGTTCTCCACAGAGTCCTTTACAGCCTTATTCTCTTCTTCCTTTTGTTGTCTTTGAAGTATTGAATAGCTTATGTTGCTTCGGTCCCTACTTATTTGACCTTCACGTGGATTTCAAACTGTTTTTAACCTCTGTGCTTTCATCAGTGGGATGTGGAATACTGTTTTTTGGGGTTTAACTCTACTTGCTCTTTTATGAGATTTTTACAATTGTGATGGTTAATAGACAGAATGGGGCTGTGATGGGGCAATATTTAGTGATGCCTTCCAGAGGTGCAGTCTGAGCTGAACACTTCCTTGAAGCAATGCTCAGACAGGTGTAACTCTTAGATTTAACCTGACACCTGGCTGCTTATTTGTCTCAGTCCTCTTATTTTGTTAAATCAGTCGTACCCTTCACTCTTAACTTGTGGGAACTGAACTTCTACCAGCAGGTGGTTGTGGTGCTGGCATAATCTGAAATACATGAGTAAAATGTGTGGGCTCTGGGAAACACAAATGCAGCTTGCAAACAATACACTGACAGAAAGGGGAAGCCCTGCTTGTATTTTTCTGAGTGACAAAGTTGCCTGAAAACCCCCAAACCTGGAGGATCTCTACCCCAGGCAGCACAAAATGTTTTCTATGTTTTGTGTAGGCCAAACTGACCATCTTTATTAACTCCTAAAGACAGTTTACTGGTTTTGTTGAGGGGAAAAAATAACACAGCATCAATTTTATAGAAGACTGGAGCATTTACAGGGCTTCTTTTTTGAATGTCAGTGCGTTATCAACAGTGGGAGCAAATGCAACTTTGTGGTGTGATGTTTGAGGATGATGTACTGGGTTCTGCTGGAATTTCAGGGCGGCTTGGCCTCTGAGCTCCAGGTGGAACTGAGCTCCTGGGATCGGTTGGGATGAGAGACATGTGAGCCACCTCCTCGGGTCCTGCAGGAGAGGTCGAGCATCTTCTGCAGGGCCTGCCCCATGGGCACTGGGGTTGCCGTGGGGTAACTCATGTCTTTTTTTTCCCTTGCTCATTGTGATATAATATTCTGTATGTACTGTAATGTTTGTGTCTAAACATGCTCGGGAAGGGAAGAACAAAGAGGTTTAATATGCTTCATGTTGGTTTTTAAATGTTAAAATTTAAACCCGCTTCTGCCGCTTTGATGCTTTCAAAACATCAACAAAAAGGAGAATAATGACTTAACATGGCGCTAGTTATGAGAAGCATCTTCTGCTCATTATTTCGAGATCAGATCTCTTCCTCTGTACTGTAGAGAACAAAGTGATCCAAACTGTTTTGAACTGCTCAGATTTGTCTCTGTCTTGCCTGAGTTGCTTTTATGTAGAGAGCAGCTATCCTAACTCCTGCACTTCTTGTTAGCTAAGTGCGTGCAGGGTGGCTTGGTTTTTGTTTCTGTCTGTTTGCAGTGTGCTAATTCCCTCCCTTTTTTCCTCTCTGCTTAAAATCTGGTTTGCATCTTATTTTCTGGCTCCCTCTCTAAAAATCGAGCGTGTCTTAGGTCAGGACCAGGCTGTTTGAACAGGTCTGGTTGAGCTGTTGGATCTGCAAGGGCAGCTGTATCTGAGGATCCTTCATCCACCCATTGCTGATGGGAGCGCCGAGGTAACAGGCTGGCAGATGTCTTGCCATCAGCTGCAGCTGCAGGGAAGGTTTGCGTGGTTCAGCGAAGCCTTATGCTGGGGTTACCGTGCGACTGCATGCAGGCTGTGCCCAAAATGCTTCCCTCATCCCTGCCAGAGCAGATGGAGCAGGTTCCTGGTACTTCAGAGGGCTGGAGCAGGTATTGCCAGGGGCTGCCTGTTGGCCTGCATGTTTCCAGTTTAACGTGGATTTTACAGCTGATGCTTTTCTGTTCCTTTGAGCTTAGCACAGAAACTACAGGAGGGTGCTACTAAAACCCACCTACCCCGCGTGAGCCTAGCGTAAATCTCATTTTAGCCTGGTTTAACTAAAACTCATTTGATCTCGTTGATCCCATATGCTGTGGACGTGTGCGGTTGGTTTCGATTTACCTTAGATGTATCGTAGGGCTAATCTTCAGCCAGTACATCAGGCCGTGAAGGGAGCTTTGTGTGCCAAAACTGAGGCTGTCCCTAGGTTTTACGCTGCTCTGCTACGCGTGGAATTCAGGATTTGTGAATGAGTTCCTTCGATTTCTGCTGCAGGCTGCTTACTGTATCACTTCGTAAAATTTCTATGCGTGCAGGAATGCTTCCTATGCTTAGCAGTGTGCTGGGAGCACTTGGAAGCTGGTAAAAACGTTCTGCCCACTGAAGGCATGGTGTAAGTAATGGGCGAGGCAAGCAATGGGTGAGCCACCCCCCGTTAACAGCAGCCACTGGGTTCGTATTTGGGAATCTCCTGCCTGTGGCTGGGACACGGGTAAACAAAGCAAACTTCAGAGTGACTCACGGGCTGTGCAGCTGATGGGGCTGCTGCTATTTTAGTGGGAAAAGTGTTGCTGTGAAGAGGATCTTGGATTGAAATTGTGGCATTCCTCCTCTGCTGGTTACCTACTTCCATGGTGACCCCTCTCATTGTGCTAAGTTAACTCTACCTATGTCTGCTACGACTGTTCTTTCCCATCTTCAGGTTGCGAGCACAGACTGTAGCATTAAGTAGCAATGAAAAAACAGATGTGGAGAAGTTAAAAGCTATCAAAGCTGCTTGACAGGAGAAGGCTGTTCATAGCTGTACCCTGCCTTCTGCAGGAGCAGGCAGTCTGCAAGGTGCTTTGGCTCCCTGTCTTTCATCAGAGCCCTACCAGACTGTCTGCGTGTCTTTTTGTGGCAGTTGCTAGTTGCACACATAGGTTTCTTTAATCTGTTCAAAGATCTGACTTTTTTTCCTCCCTGTTTGTGTACCTTGTAATGACAATTTTCTCTATGCCAGTGCTATGCTTCTAGGTTCCCCTCATCTTTTTATAAGGCTTTCCACTGAAGCTGCACCATCCTTCCACATCTGTACAGAATAAGGATGTAGTCTGCTAATTCAATCTTATCCACATCACTGGAAAATGTGTCAAATGATGCTTGATTCCCAGTTGTACCATGGGACTTGCTTGAATTTCTGGAGAGTGCTTTGTTAGCTGTTTGTTACGTGCTAGTTCCTGCTAATGAACCACTCTGAGCAGATTGGTGCTGCCAGGACGTCCTTCTCAGCTCCCAAGCCTCATGGATGGGCAGCAGGGTCTGTGTGTGAGTGTGCTGGGTCGGTGCAGCAGGCACCCATCCTCACCTACTCCTGGGAAGAAGCTGGGGCAACTCCGAGGTGAAAATGTAGCGTGGTGCTTGTTTTCTGAGGCAGAACATGCCCTATCGCAAAAGCACAAAATACTGATCTCACCACGAGCCCGTTGATTTCTGCATTCCTCGTTCCTCGTACAGCTGAGTCTTCCCCACGTAAAACAGGTTACTGGACCACCGGCAGCCTCCTGATTATTCCACTTGCTGGGCAGATGTGTCGGCATCTCCCCAAGCTCCTTAGGATTCAGCTCTTCCCAGCTGTAGCGGAGATGAAAGTGTGGCTGTAAATTATTCATTCTGATTATCTGCTTGAATGGACAGGGCCCATTCTAAATATTACTTCCTAGAATATTTGTCTTTCAGATATTGAAATTTAACCTGCCTTTAATACTTGTGTAAACAGATCCTGTTGTAACATCAGATGGCACAGAACCGTTCCGTTGCATCCTCTTATTACGGAGATTACTTATTCCACTTAACCTCAATCCCAAATTCCAGTGGTATGGCTTGAACGGGGATCTCTGCTCGCGTGTGAACCTGCAACGCCATAACACAGAGGAAGCAAGGAGTAGGAATGCTTGAAGGCTGAACTCCAAACCAAAATTAATAGGTGACTTTAAAGTTTGTTTGACAGAGAAGAAGCTTTTAGTGGCAAAGGAGATCTTCTGCTGGTGCTCGTGCTCTGCAAGTTCACCTCTTTGCTTGCTCTGGATGAGCAGAGTGAGAGATGCGAGTCTGGGATATTCTCAGTGTGCCAGCACTGGCAGTGTGTCCCTGTTCCTGCTCTAATCCGTAATACACTAGCAGAGTTAGCTGACAGCTAAAGATCTTTGAGTTTGGATTTATTTCTGTTGCTAAATAAACAAAACAGCCTTCTTTGGGGTGATAAATGCTCCCAGTGAGTAAGATAGGACATGGGAATTGTGTTTTTTTCCAAGGGAAGTTACGAGGCTGTGACAGGTCGTGTTCGTTATGTGCAGCCTTGCCTTGTAGGGCTGAACAGAGACTTCGGGATTGTCTGTATAAGTCCAGTTGTCTTCTTTTTATGTCAAAATAAACATCTCTTTCCAATCGCACCAACTTATTTGTAGCGGGTTGAGGCTTTGTTGACGTGGGAGAGTTTAAGTGAGTCTTCAGCAGAACTGCTTCACGTCAACCACCACGAAGCAGCCACAAGCAGATTAAT